AATCTTCACTATTTGCGGATTCCATATTTGTTAATTTTCCTACTTGCTGAAATTTATTTATAATCTCAAAATCAGTACTCCTGGCACTTTCACAGTCATTTGTGGGCATGTGCAGAGTGGTGAGAAATTTGAGTTGCCTGATACAGTCCCAACTAAGGTGATGCTCTGCCTTCTTATCTCAGCTCTCTTCCTGTAAATAAGTGTCCTTTTGGTGGCTTATTTAGTGTCCCATTTTGTGCTTTTTATTGATCTTGCTTGTTAAAAGTGGCCTCCAAGCATAGTGCTGAAAAGCTATCTAGTTTTCCTAAGTGCAAGGAGGTTGTGGTGTCTTGTGGAGAAAATGTACATGTTGAATAAGCTCTATTCAGGCAAGAGTTAGAGTGCTATTGGCCTTGAGTTCAAAGATAATGAACCAACAATACTGTACATCCAGAAAAAGGAAGAAGAAGTTTACCGATCAGTATGCTGCTCCAGAAGCTGCTAAAGTAACATCTATGGTGCATATTGAAGCCATGGAAAAGCTGGAACAGTAGCTAAACTTACGGATTCATGAGACGATTGCCAATAAAAATAATCTAGGAGACAACATTGTTGTAAGGCTGAAAGCCAAAGAAATTCATGGACAGATTATCCATCAGGAAGAATTATACTTTTCTTGGTTAGTGTTTTATTATAAAGAAATACTGCTATATAATTAATTATAAGAAATATATATTAAATAACATGTCTTTAACAGAAACACACATAAAGTAAGGTTACTTACAGATTGAAAATGTGAGCAGAGGCTTGCAGGAGCAATAGCTCCATATTTGCTAATTCAGTGGTCATGGTGACCTTATAGAACATAACTGCCACAAACTGCAAGAATGTATTTCCAAATGGCCATATTCCCACCATCATTATATAAGAGTGCTTTCTTCACCCCCAGCTAACAAAAAACGTTGTTTCAAACCCTTTGATATCTGATAACCTGATAGGTGAATAATGGTATCTTGTGGTTTTAATTTGCATTTCTTTTAGTAGGCAAATGTAGAATATCATTTTGTGTTTTAGAGCCATTCATATTCTCTTTTGTTCATATCCTTTTTGCTTTCTCTTTGGATATTTATCTTTTTCTTATTGATTTGTAGCAGATCTTTATATATTAAGAAAATTAGTCCTTTTTCTATGCCGGGAATTGCAAATATTTCCCTAGTTTGTCATTTGTCTCTTGATCTTTTTTTCCTACACGGCAAAGAAAATACTATAAACATTTTTTGATGTAGTCAAATATATTGATCTTGTCTTTTATGGCCTCTGGATTTTGTTATAGTTTTAAAAGCTTTCCTTAAGAAATATTTAAGAGTTGTGTTTGATGTGTGGTCCTTTGGTGTTTGTAAGAAATTTAATCCTCATAATACAGAGAGTGTCAAAAAAATGTACACACATTTTAAAAGAGGAAAAAAAACTGTATTAAAATTGTAATACTTAATATATACCGATAACAAAAGATGAATATAAGTCATGTATATATATTTTTTTGGCACCGCCAGCATGCAACACTAATTATAAGTTCTTCTTTTCAAGCTGAGTAAATGTCAGAGTAATAGAACGATGGAAGATCACAGGTTTAGGAATCTAAAAGTCCAGTTTTAATTGCAGTTTGTGCACTTACTAAAATGACCTAGGCCTTGTAACTTGCTTTCTGTGAGCCTCAGGTTCCCCATCCAGGCTTTGAGCTCTGCTACAAAAGGCGGTGCCTGCCGGATGACAGATTCTGAATGTCAGTTCCTCCCGCTCCTGCGTCTCTGAAGCCCTCCACCAAGAAATAGTTTGTTAACACAGGCACTGAAAGAAATAAAATCGGGGTATTTTTCAAAAGCATTCTATAATTTAAATTGTAGACAATTTTTGCTGAGTTTCTCAAGCTAGCCTGAACTAGCTATACACTGAACTGATCACGATATACTGATTTGAATTGTTGATATTGAAAACGATGTGTCAGCACAATTCACCTCATATTTTTTTTGGTTTGCGAAGAGTGAAGACTGAATTTCTAGACATTGAGTTACTTTCTTTAAGGACACGTAAACTCTATATCTAGTAACTTTATTGAAAACCCTTCAATAAAAAACATTTAATGTCTTGAATCAGTATTTCCAATTTATTGTTTTGTAAATCTAAATTTTTTATAAATTGCATTTCCTTAAAGCAGGCCACATTTTTAGAGAGAACAATGCAGTTTAACATCACCCAAATTGTGTCTTAAAAAAAATAAAATGTAATGTTTTTATCCTTCACTTTCATGATTAGACTGACTGTATGAGCAGTTACCACTGTAACATTCGGGGCATAAGGGGAAGTCACAGTTTTAGGAATGCCTTAACTTTGTATTTATAAATACAAGTGCATTGTCACTACTCTAGGGAAACTCAGTGAGACTTGAGCGCCTTTGCTCTATTAGGCAATTTAGAATATCCCAGACCTTGCTCTGGACTTCAAGATTTTTGAAGTTCAAAGGAGATGTGTGAGGAAGAAAAAACATCTGGTGAAGAGAACTTGCTTCATTGCGTGACACTGTTTTCCTGCACTCTTCAGCAGAGCGTCTGTTGAGCAGGTTGGCAGGTTTGATAATTAATTAATGATGAGGGAATGAGCCATGTATCTGAGGAACTCAATTTTGTCCCTTACTGCTTCTTTCTTCCCCACATGTCTGGCAAAACCTTCAGAGTCTAGGATCACTGATCCCACAGTTGTGTCTCAACTCAAACACTTGTCTTCAGGCTTAATTAGCTCAGAGATATAAACAGATGGATGGCCTGGGACCCAGAGGGTTTAGTGTTGAGCAATGCAGTTTCATTATCAGGGACTTTTGAAATTTTTGTTGGAGAAGTGCCTCAAAACTTAAAAAAAATGCCTTTAAAAAAACTGAGAATTTTAAAAGTGTATACTTGAAGGTGAAGCTCTGTATGTTTGTGAATTTTTCTTTTTGTAACTTTTAAGTTAGCTATAATTTCAAACTTACAGAAAAGTACAAGGGACACCCATAATTCCACTACCCAGATTCATCCATTGCTTTCATTTCCCCCCAATTACTTTGCCATTACTTCCTGCTTCCCTCTGTCTTCCCTTTAGACACACACACACACAGACACACACACACACACACACACAGAGGTATATTATTTCTGAACCAAGGAGATTTCAGGGGTCTTTACCCCTAATACTTCAGTATGTGTTTCTTAAGAACAAGGTCATTTTTCTAAACAATCACATACAGATATCAAAATCATAAAATTTAATATTGCTACAGCACTATTATCGAATCCATAGTCTCTTTTCAAAGTCCCATCAATTGTCTCAGTAATGTCTCTTATAACATACCCTCTTTCCCTAGTCCAGGATCCAGTCCAGGATGACACATTGCATTTAGTTGTCATGTGTCCTTTGTCTCTTTGAAATGGGAACAGTTTCTCAACTTTGTATTTTTTTACTTTGACTCTTTTGAATTTTTTTTTAAAGATTTTATTGGGGAATTGGGGGAGGGGAACAGCACTGGGGAATCCGGGAAGGGGAACAGACAAGTTGCTGTCCTTTTGTTCTTCAGTCTAGTTGTGGAGGACGTCGCTTTACTGGTCCATGTTGGTATTATCATTGCGCTCTTCCTGGGTGAGTCAGATCAGTCACCAGCCATTGGACAGCCGCTCACGCCAGCTGCCGGCCGCTCACAGTAGCTCATGGCAGCCCACTGCAGGAGGGGCTGCAGCCTATGCCATCACTGGCACCTTACCACAGCCCAGCTCCAGGACGAGCTGTTGTTCACTATCTTAGCTGTAGAGGGCGCAGTGTCACTGGCCCTCATGTGGGATCCGAACCGGGCCTTGCTGCTCAGAGCTGGGGTCCCAAGCCAACTCTTAACCAGTGTGCCACTCGGCCAGCCTGATTCTTTTGAATTTTAAACCACCTATTTAGTAATGCTCCCCTATCAGGTTTGTATGGTGTTTCCTCATGTAATCCTCCTTCTGCGTTTTTGGCAAGAACACCACAGAAGTGGTGGTGAGTCTCACAGTGTCTTATGAGGAGTCACATTGTGTTGATTTGTCTGCCCCCTAACTGGTGATGTTAGGCTCGATCATTGGCCTAAAGTGGAGTCCATTTCCCCCTTTATATTTAATAAGAATTTTGTGGAGAGATACTTTGAGAATATGAAATAGCCTGTTTCTCTTCAAATTTTTACTAATTTTAGCAACCATGGTGGTTTATAACTTTATTATTTTTCTGTATTAGGTGGCATTCCGCTTCAAGGAAGAGTTTTCTCTTCCTCTCTGTTTCTTTATTAATTTGTTTGTTTGCATTAGTGTAGGCCCATTGGTTCTCATTTTGGTCAGTGGCAATAATTCATTACTATTATTATGTATTTTGGTACGTCAGTTGACACAGATTTGGCCAGCAAGAGCTCCTTCAGGCTGACCCCTGTTCCTTTTGATAAGTCCTTGTCACTCTTTAAACACTGCCTTACTTTCTGGCACAAGATGTTCCAGATTTATTTTATATTTTCTCTGCCCCAGCCCTGAAATTGACATTTCTTCAAGGAATCCTGATTTCTTTTCATGCAGAATGGTATTTAGAAACCAAGACATGTGTGTGTGTATGTGTGTGTGTGTATTAAAGGAAACTACGTTATGGAATATTACATTTATTAAATCACTGTGTACTGTATATATGAGTGTGTGTGTGCACGTGTGTGTCTTTAATGTTACAAGTTTCAAACAGAAGAGCATTTATTTTACATGTAATAATCATAAGTTTTGACAAGAAAGAAATACATTTTTCATTTCACAGTAAATGGCATTACACAGTTTTGAGTACTAAATCATCTTGACATTTATGAAGGAGCAAATGGAAAGTAGGGAACTGAGTGTGTTAAGTATAAAGCTATCTTTAACTGTTCTATTAAAAAGCAAAGATTTATTTGCCATCTGTGATCTGAATGTGCCTATTTGTGTTCTCTTCCATGGCAGTGGAATTTCTGTGGAGCCACACAACAGAGAGCATGTGTGTTGGATATATGTCAGCCCAGGATGGGAAAGCCAAGGTAAGCGGGAAATCTGGGGCATAACCTGAAAACCTTGCAGCCATTGCATGAACCTCTTACAGGCTGAGTTGATACGAATGGAGTTTTTCAGCCTCTCTTGGGAAGTAGCTCTGTGATCTTTATGAGAATCTGATTAACAACAGTTAATGATCCCAAAGAGAAACAGTCGGTCTTTTATGCTTTTGATGATGGACGGAGCAGGAAGGATTACAGAAAAACTTTTCATTTCATCTTGTTCTGCTTTGTCCATTGTGAATAATTGGAAGAGAGGAACCTGGAATTGGGACGAGGAAAGGGGAGCGAAGCTGATGGGCTGTCAGGACTGGACGATTGTGCAAGGAGTGTCGGGATAGATAAAGAAGCCGAGGCCTGGAGTGGGTCCTGTACATGTGAGGGCAAAGGTGGCTGACATACTTGCAGTGTGACCTGGCTCATGCTCTGGTGCGTTTTGGCATGCCCTGCCGTGGTGTCCTCATGCACAGAGTCAAAGGTCTGTGCCCTGTGTGTCACGTGCCCATGGCACATGTCCCTCAGTGAGTCACAGGAATCACATAGACATCCACGCAGCACCTCTTGAGTTGCTCGTCTTCCCTGAACTCAGTGGGTGAGCTGGGAGTAAGAAATATAATGGGTGGACTTTATTTTATGCTGGCTTCAAGTTCTTCTTGTTCATAAAACTTTTAGAAACAGCTGTGGCGTATGCTGCTTACTTGGCATTAAAGTGCCTCATTTGTGAATCTGTGAAGTTGGGCAGACTCTTTTTTAAAGGACATGATTTGTTTTGCACATTTGAAAATATAAATAGGGAAACTTCTGATATAAACGGTGTGATATAGATTGATTGAGTCATTAAGTAATTAAGGATACATGTAAGAAAGCATAGTTAACTGCCTACTTGTCATATAACCCATCCAGACTGGCCTCTGTACATTATCCAGCTTCACAGGGCTTCTGTGAGTACAGCATACAAGTACGTTTCATCAGACGAGGACTGGCTTACATCGTGAAACTAATAACGAGCTCTCCCTCTTTGTATCACCGTCACCTAATGCAAGATTCGTATTTTATCAGTAGACTTATTTTATAAGAGTATGCATAAAGGTTGCTTTATTTCATAGTACATGGAGACGGAAATTATAATTGCCCATTCACGGCTGATTTACAGGTTTAGAGCAACACTATCTAATAAATAGAATTTTCTGTGATGATAGAAATATTTTAGATTTATATCGTGTTACCCAATAGGATAGCCACTAACCATATGTGACTATTAAGCACTTGAAATGTGGCTAGTATGCCCGAGGAACAGAACTTTAAATTTTAGCTAGTTTAAATTCAAATAGCCTTATGTGGCTAGTGGCTACCATATTGAACAGTACAGATTTAAGAATGAGTGGAAAATGGTTATTCAAGTAAATATTTTCAGAACATTCTTTTCTTCCCAATGACAAAATGGTTCCCAAATATAAAATAAGCTTAATACGCCACAAAAATCCTTGCACAAGAATGGCTTGTAGCCATTTATGTTTCTCTCACCCCTTCCATGTTGACTCTGAGCTAAAATTACTTTTTTTAACAAAAGAACATTGTATGAGGTGGACCTCTACACTGAAGCCAGTTTGGTGGGGTATGGCCATGTTATTAAGTGCCTTGTGCGGAAATGTTCTCGTTATCCCTGCTGGTGGCCTGTGGAAGACACCTTACTATTTAACATGAAATATGGGTGGTAAAGAGAGGGGAGAGTCCTGCATTGAGCCCAGAGACGTTTAGCTTCCAGTTGCATTGCTTGACATCTGGTGGACATGGTTTTCATATTGCTGGTAAATTCTCCAGCTGGTAGTCTTGATTAGGCCAACAGATACAGCTGCTCCTCTTGCCTCGCTTGGAAATTATGTTTTTGACCTTCTTTGCAGAGAGTTAATCCCTCTCCCTTTCTTCCTCCTTTGAGCCTGTGGCTACAAATCCTTTCCAAAAAAAAACAGAAAAAGAAAAGAAAACCAAAATACTAATGATTTGGCTGCTGAATTCTATTGATCAAAAAAAACAAAAACAAAACAAAAATTAAAAAAAAACCCATCTCTTCTGTGATAAAGGCTGGGATTTTACTATGTTGCAAATAAGATGAAGTTAAAGATGAGTAGCTGGGCTCAAAAGAGAAAGGAGGCTATAGCAAAGTTTATATTCTTTTTAAGACAGTAAGCCCTTGGCCTACCCCCCTGGTTTCCTGACCTCTGTAAAAGAATTGTTGAATTAGTGGCATAATTGTTCAGCGTGATGACTGGTTTGTAAAACATGCTCTCACATAATGTTGAGAACTGTCGTAGCAAAATGAGAAAGAAGGCGTCTTAAAAAAAAATTAACTGAAAAAGTATTTCTTAAAATGTTTTTTTTTTTTCTTTTTTTCTCTCCCTCCAAAAATTGCCTTCTTTGTGCTTGTTACCAAACTCAGAAACTAAAGCCATCTGGTCATTTGAACATTTTATGTAAGCTAACTATGTTTAATCCAAGTTAAGACCTTGAATTAAAGCTCAATTCAAAATCATACTGCTTTAAAAGCCTAGATAATAATCAATATCATTGGAACTAGAATTCACATATAGTTTGAATAAGTAGAGGTGGGTTCTTTTACAGATTTCTTTTCTTTTATAGAATATGCTTTCAATTATACCATTTAATTTCAGAAGCCTTCCATAGACTAAGTTAAAGAGAGATTTTTTTTAATTTAACAAAAATTAGGGTATTGATACCAGTTGGATTTAAAAATCAAATTGATCATATCATATCCAGATAGCAGTTAGTGAATAGTTTTTAATAAATACCAGTGTGCATGAGCTACTGTAATGAAAACAGATGTTAAAAGTGGCATGGATGTCTTGTTAGGGAGACCACTTCATAGACGGTGTAGAGGTCTGACCACCACACTATTTCCGAAGCTGATGTTGAATAATATTGTATTTCAACTATAATTATATATACATATAGTCACGGGATGTGGAGTAAAGAGTGGGAATGGAGTCAATGGAATTGTAATAGATAAGGATGATATCGGGGGTGGGAGGACAATGGTTGGGAGGGGGTTTGTTATTTTGTGAGGGGTGAAAAGGATAACTATTGCATTCTTCTGTACACCTGAAACTAATAAAAAAAAAGTGGCATGGAACTTATTCAAGTATAAGTGAAATAAGATTTCTTTTACTATGTAGAGGTCAATTTTTGTTGCTATAGTGAAAATATTATTATAAAAATTCATCTTTGAGGATGAGCAGGCTATTTTGTGGTCTTGAAGTGTCTCCCGCACTGATTTCTTATTAGTTATAGGGGAAGATATTAAGTATATAATGGAGAAACCAGGCAACAACTTCACTGTATGATCAAAATTATTGTCATCAGTGAGGAGCAGATGGACATCATGTGCCTCTGGATGTGATAACCTGAGAAAGACACCACATCACTTTTGTAGTAACCCACGTGGAAGTGCATAACATGAATGTAATCACAAGGAAACATTAGACAAATCTAAAATGAGGAATATTCTATGAAGAAAGAAAAAAAGGACTATATAGTTGACCCTTGAACAACGTGGGTGTGAACTGTGTGGGTCCAGTTATAAGTGGGTTTTTTTCAGTAAATACTGTAAATGTATTTTTTATTTATTTTTTTAGCTGAGCCATCCTGCCACCTGTTGGCAGCTCAGCGGCAGCTCAGCTCGGGCCAGGACTTGAACCACTATTGCTCAGAGCTGGCACGCACTCTTGAGCGAGCTCTTAACCAACTGAGCTACTCAGCCGACCCCTGTAAATGTATTTTCTTACCATTTTCTTTTCTCTAGCTTACGTAAGAATATTATATATATGTTATATCACATACAAAATTTGTGTTAATCAATGTTTATATATCAATAAGACTTCCCATCAACAGTGGGCTATTAGTAGGTAAGTTTTGGGGGGAGCCAAAGTTATACACAGATTTTGGATTTCCTGGGGGGGTGGAGGGAGTGTCAGTGCCCCAACCCCCATGCTGTTCAAGGGTCAACTGGATTCTTTTTGTCTTGTCTTGTTTTAAAGAAGTGAAATAATGCATTTTATTTGTAAAAAACAAATTTTACTTTTTTATTATGAAAATTATATGTGTCCATCTGATTTTTTTATCACTCTCTATTATTGTATCTATGGTGTGAATGTACCATGGTTCACTTAACTGATTCTCTATTTTTAAGCATTTAGGCTGTTTATACACAATGCTGTAGTGAACATCTTAGTGCATAAATTATTCTTAGGCTTGGAGTTTCTGGGTGAAAAATTATATATTTAACAGCTTTTGCTACATTTTATCAAATTGCTGCCCAAAAAGGTTGCAGCAGTTCTTATTTCTACCAGCCATGCATAAGGGTGGTGGCCTTCTTCAGGCAGCAGTGGATGTTGGTTATCAACGGGGTCAACTGTATTCTTTAAAAAATGCCAATGTCCTAAAAGACAAAGGCTGCAGAAATGTTGCAGATTTAAAAGTACTAAAGAGTTGTGGCAATTAAGTCCAATAACTGTCCTAGACTGGATCCTATACAGGATGGAGAAAAATGCTGTAAATGCATTATTAGGTCAATTTACAAAATTGGAATATGTGTGGTAAAAAGTGTATCATTGTTGAATTTGTTATAACTGTACTGTGTTATGTAAGGAACTATCCTTACTCTTAGGAAATACAGACTGAAGTATCTAGGGGTAAAGGGCCATGATATGTGCAATAACTTCTCCATGGCTCTGAAAAAAAGATGTGGATGGATGGATAGATAAGATGATAGCAAATTTCAAAACAAACGGAGCAAAATGTTAACAATAGATGGACTTGGGTGAAGGACGTATGGGTGTTGCCTGAACTATTCTGTAATTTTGAAATTATTTTCAAATGAAAAGTTATATATCACCCTTGGATTCTGTGGCACATTTGATTAGTCTTTTGGGCTTTGCAGTTGACATGAACAAGTATTGGAATGGTGTGGTGTC